AAACCCTACAGACTGAAAGGAAAACGAAAGGATTCATTTGTTCTTGATTTTCCCTATGCTGGAAAGTCCCTGGCTTCATTTCATTTGCTGGTCTGAAAACTAATTTCAATCCCAAGTGTCAAAATACTAAACCCTTCTTACTTTCTAATAACTCTTTAAGATGAAAAAAATAAATCACTAAAGAAAACCAGTAACTAATAAGGCTTAATTTAGAAGACGTGATAGGATATTATTCATAGAACTATCCAAGAATGCATAAAGGTAGACATATTGAAGATACCGCAAATCATAGAAAAATTCAGTTAACTTCTTGTTTGTGTGAATGTGTAGTTATACGTGTCACGTGGCAGAAAAGTTCTCATACGGGCCGTTATCTCTAGCATAAGCTAGCTACTAGAGTGGCTGTTTCAGCCACCAGAAATTGATGAGTCCTCAGAAAATACAAATTAGTTTTGACTATAGCTCTTCTCAAAGGAGATGCCCTGGTGGCAGTTAGTAGGGTAAGCATCAGAAACCGAATGTCAATGGTTTAGACCCACCAGCCACTCTGCAGGAAAAGAGCAAAGCAGTCTGCTTCCACGAAGGTTCACAGCCTCAGAAACCCTACGGCACTGGGTCTGGTTTGCAAAAAAAAATGATGCTGCGTTAGATGCCACCAAGGAAATTCCAACTGCTGGCAGCTCTATGTGTGCAGAGTAGAACTGCTCTGTAGTGCTTCCAAGGATATGCCTGTCCTTCCCAAAGATCACCGGGACTGGGTGGCTTTGAATCACCAACCTTTTGGCGAATAGTTGGAGCACTTCACCATTTATACCACCTGGAGACTCCCCCCAAAATAACCTACATGAGCAAAGCAAAGCATTAGGAAGGTAAACCAACCGCCCTTCCCCAACTTGTGATTTCCAAAACTAGAAAAAAATCTGTTTTTTTTAACCACTGGACACACATATATGAAATATACATGACTAGAAGCAACAAATATTCCAAAACAATTTTATATATTTTGCAAACTGAAAACTAGTGACTAGACAATGAATTTAAGGCTTTCAACAATACAATTCACAATGTAGAGGAACATATTCATCGTGAAAAATAAAGCCTAAGCGTTACTGTTAAAAATAGTGGTTGGGGGTGGGGGGGCAGGAGAACAGGTGCAATAATAGATCAACACTGGATCACAAGCTGTTGAGAAAGTCAGATGGAAGTTCAGTTAATAGAAGAAGAAAGATGAGGAGATAGGAATTGGGAAATCTTAACAATAGAGTCTACCTGAACACTCAGAGCCAAAGACTGGTTGACATTTCAAAAAGGAAACGGCTATAGTTCACAGACAAGTTTGATTTTCTGTGGCTTGTCAATATATCATATTACTTAACATCTGACCATGTAACCTCCTATCATCAATTGATGCATCCAGGGTATAACAGTATCCCGACCGAGCCCGTCACTTGAAAATAACTGTTATAGGAGCTATTTTCCATAGATATGCTTCTGTCGATGGAACAGCCCCCATGGGCCTCAAGGCCCCATAACAGCCCACTGCTATCCAGTTGATTCTGATTCATGGAAACCCTAGAGAGGATTTCCAAATTGTTACACAAGTCCTACTTTGCCTTACAAATTTAGCTCTAAAAATTTCCATAAAACATCGAATATTATTCCTGGGCAAACTGCTGCGTAATCCTACAAAAGCAAGCATACTAACATGTCTTACTATCTATTCTGCCAAGGTTGTGGGTATTATTTACAGTTAGGCAGTATGGTTTATGACTACTTTGGTCTTCATAGGAAATCCAGGCAAAAAGTCCAGTGACTACCAGACACCAAAAGAATGTCTGTCGATATGACGAGAAAGGTTAACATTTTATTTAATACCGTCATTGTTCTTGAAAACATACACAGCAGAATATATGCCAATTCAATGATTCCCACATGCATGATTCCGTGACAGTGATTACACCAATCAAGTTGGGCAGCCATGGTCCCTCTCCTTTCCCCCACTGGTCCTCCCACACTAGAACTGTGAGCTCACTGCTTCCAAGGCTTCCTATCTGACCTTTTGTGTTGCTCTTGTCAATCCTATCCCATATCGCTTGTTCTTTCAAAGAGCACACAGTGCTTACGACAGACATGCTTTTCTCATTAAGTTAAATTACTGTTTGGCTTTAAAGACTTTAGGGATATTTTTGGTCTATGGTTTAAAGATTATCAGAGAGTTGGCCCTTATGTTGTTCTGGGGACTCAGCTATCTGCAATAGCTCAAGAAAGTCTGGAATTCACGAAAATTTGAAATAACCTTTTCCCTGTATTGATCAGGATTTTTCTATGGAATCTTCGGTCAAAAAGTTCAGTAATGGAGTCAGGCATCATCCAGTTCTCCCGGGTTCATGGCAAAGGAGGCAGTTGTTCATGGTGACATTTAGTCATACATGAAGGTTAACATTTTTTATATAAATCTGATATTGTGTATCTTTCTTAAAGGAAAACCAGGCAACTCAAAACTACAAAATTAATTAGAAACTGCGACACTAAGTTTTATACAAAACTAAAAACGCATACAAATTGCTTGCCATACCTTGTAAAATCTGCTTGCTGGGTCCGGATGTTTCTTTTAAGGAGGGACCATCTGTAGAAAGTTAAATAAGATTACTTTAAAGCATGCTTTCAAATCTGATTCAAACTTTTGCAGTTCTTTCTCACTTAAATGTATCATAAAGAATGATACACAGCCACAACAGACCTCCAAATTAATTTTTTAAATTTTACTATAGGAATTTAGTGGAGATAAATACAGGCAATGTCAAAGCACAAAGGTATAAAGTAATTAGGAAAATATTACATTAAACCGTCTGGCAAAAAGCACAAGTAAAAGTATTGCAAAAGTTCACTAATATTCCTAAGATACCATATAATATAGCTTCCCATGCTAATTTTAAGGCACCCTGGTGGCATTTTGGTGGAGCACTTGGCTCCTAACTAAAAGCCTGGCAGTTCAAACCCACCCAGTAGCTCCACAGGAGTCAGAACTAGGGAGGAGCTTCCTAAGAAAACCCCGTGGGAAGCTCTATTCTGTCATGTGGGTTGCAATGAGTTGAAACTGACTGGGTCATACCCCCCAAAAAAACCTGCTGATTTTACAACAGGAAATGTAGAGAAAATAAAACCCACTCCTTAAAGTCCAAGAAATGAAACCATGGCAGAATTATCCATCACTTGACCTTGGAAAACAGCAGCTTTCCAAAGGCTTCTAAATGGACGTGGCAAGCTTGCCACAGAGATAAAAATATTTCGGTTGAGTTTTTTTTTTTTTTGCCTTTCTGATAAAAAGATGAAACAAAATGTAATTTCTAGACTTAAACACCTTGAAGATGACTAATCACAGGAAGCAAGTTAAAAGATGAGCAACAATTGTTTAAAGGGGGTCATCAGGTGACTCCTAAGCCCGATGCTCAAGATTTCCAGAGACTCACAGAACCTGCCTGGAGTTACCATCCTTGGCCCATAGCATCGGAGGGTAAGCCCTGTCACCACCGCTTCACAGAACACGGTGACAATGCCAAAAAAGGTATGTCTAAAAGCCTAAAGCTGCACTGGGCATGGTATAAGCTACCTGGACACGGCATTGCTATGTGGAGAGAAAGAGATAGAGAGCTACCCGGAAGATGCTGCTTACTGCGAAAAGTAGAACAGTTCCCACAATCTTGTTCCTCACCAAGGCACCAGAGAGGAAGTCTCTGAAGCAGATTTCTATTGGCAATAAATCAGAACAAGGATTTTCTCTACATTACTTTGAAAAGCATAATCTGCTATACTAATCGTTATATGAGACAACATATGACACCTATGTAAAACACGGCAATCCTCTAGGGTCTATAATTTGACACCTGTGGCAGAGACTGGCTAGCTGTTACCAAATCCATTTCTTCCTCCTCTCAGGTTTACAGCTACAGTGCAAGGCTCCCCTAAGTGAGGGAGTCCTATACGACTAAGCTACACACAAAGAAGGAAGAGAAGGAAACCGATTCTAGGAGCATAGGAATGCCCAACACAATCTCCTATGTATTCTCTCTCCCAGCTCCAAGCAGAGAAGTCAGTGTAGAAGAGCAGTTCTCAGCCTGTGGGACACGACCCCTTTGGGAGTCGAACAACCCTTTCACAGGGGTTGCCAGATCATATCAGTAGCAAAATGACAATTATGAAGTAGCAACGAAAATAATTTGATGGTTGGGGGTCACCACAACATGAGGAACTGTACTAAAGGGTGAAGGCATTAGAAGGCTGAGAACCACTGTAGAATCACAAAGGCCGAGAGATTAAGAAGCCACAGAGGGAGGCTTGATCCATGAATTTTCATGAGGAATAGAGCCCCCATTCTATCCCATCAACCTAAGAGCAAGAAATAGAATTTTACTGCTTAAGTGTCTGAGATTTACACCTCACCCCGTTTTTAAAATACAGCTATAGCCTTACTCACTCTGTGGCAGTTAATAAAAATGAAGCTCACAGGATTTCCCAGAAAGCCAAGATGTCTCTTAAGAACAAAATAGAACCAAGGTCACATTACTGTTTTGTCCCTAAGTAGCTTATACAAAACAGAAGGCAGAATTAACAGGTAAGAACCCAGGCTTTGGTCTCAGATTCGCTGTGTTCAATTCCTAATATTTCTACAGTAGATTAAATCTTTTTGTGCCTCAGTTACTTATAAACAGACTATACTAAGAAGAAAACCCTGGTGCTCTGTATACGAAAAACCTGCCAATGAAGCCCTCTGATCACCAACAGTCCAGTCCCTTCTGCATGGGTTTGCCATGAACTGGGTGGGCCGATGCAAAGGCAACAGAAAGAATTTAAAGACTAACCATGTTGTATCACCTAGACAGCTTCTGTCTATTAATCGATACTTTGGAATGTCAAGAATGACTAATTCAAATTTTAAAATAAGTATTAATTATTTCAATCAGGAAATACTTTATAACTTAGTACTCAACACTATGAAGGTCAGCATATAAAGATTTATAAAGGAACATGGAAGTATATAACAAGTGATAACCACCAAAAAGTACAATAAAATATGAGTTCATAAAAATCATTGTATTTTCACAAATGTGTGTGGTATAAAAGGCAGTATATATAATCATATTTAATCATTGCTGCTAGCTGAACATTTAAGATAGTGACTTATCATATACTCATTTGAAAAAAGTTATAATCACTGCCTTATACTGAATTTTCTGATATATTAAAGATCAAGTAGCTAGCCCTAGGCCTAACCCTAACTCTAGGCCTAACCCTATCCCTAGGCTTAACCCTCTCACCAGTACGCTAACCCTAACCTAACCCTAACCCTAGGCCTAACCCTAACCCTAAAAGACAAAAAAAGAAAAGATCAACTAGGCCTGGGAACCACTTAGACCAATTCTTTATGAAGAACATCAATTACATCCTCTATAAGGTGATTTTTAACCAGGAAGAGTAGCTTATTAATTCTAGTGTATTTACAAGGTGAACACCTCTGAAGCTCTATCTCTAGGCTGTACTCACCGTGGGAATGGAAGTGGCCGTGCTCATGCCCGTGAGCATGACCATGGCCATGTGCAACACCGTGTTTCAGTTCATGGCTATGGAAGTGATCTCCATGGCCGTGTGCCTGGTCTAGAGCACCATTAAAAAGGGAATGACTGTGTCCGTGGCCTACAAAACAAAAAGGAGTAGAACAGAGGGGTGTAAAAATGCAATTACGTAAGCAGTTATAATCATACTGACATTTGTTTAAGAAATCAATTATAAAATCATATTCAATTAAATAAGCATTTGTTTGTAGAAAGAGTTCTTTTCATTCATCAAACATTGTGGACAAATTCCAACTGTGGAGGAAGGAAAAGAAAGCATGGAAGGAAGTAATGGGACTGATGAAATGACAATAAAATGAGGAAGATGATAGTAGATAACGGTCTTCACTCACTTGGAAATACTTATTTAAAGACACTACGTTCTAGAGCAGCCGTTCTCAACCTATGGTTCGCGACCCCTTTGGGGGTCAAACAACCCTTTCACAGGGGTCGTCCGATTCATAGCAGTAGCAAAATTACAGTTGTGAAGCAGCAATGAAAATAACTTTATGGTTGGGGGTCACCACCACATGAGAACTGTATTAAACGGTCACGGCATTAGGAAGGTTGAGAACCACTGCTCTAAACACTATTCTAGGGATCGGAATAGCAGTAAGCTGCAGACAGACAAAAATCTTGGCAAGAAAAGTGGCCAAGTATTTTACACACCCTAGCAGAGATTAAAACAAGATACACATGGCCACATTGAGGCCGAGGCAGGGAAGCTGCTGTATTTAGTAAAGGCAAAGATTAGCAAACTTACATTAAAGCAGGAATAAAAGTCAAAAATGAAGTAATGATCACTACTCTCTCCATAACCCAAACCAAACCTATTGCTGTCTCAAACCAAAAAAATCCTAATTTCCCACCCGTGAGTCCATTCCTACTCATAGGGGGCTTATAGGATAAAAAAGAACTGCCCCTTTGGGGTTCAGAGACTGTATATCTTTCTGGGGGTGAAAAACCTCAGCTTTCCTGTGAAGCAGCTGGTGGTTTCAAACAGCTGACCCTGAGATAACAGCCCACTGTGTAACCCACTGTGCCACCACCAAGGCTCTATTTCCATCTAATCAATTCCAGTTCACGCCCTACAGGAAAGAGTAGGACTGACTCATAAGGGCTCCAGTGTTCTAATCTTCAGGGAAGCAAATGCCACACCTTTCTGCCATGGAGCAGCTTGGAAAGCCGGAACAATTTTTGTTCGGGGGTTGAGCACTCAGCCATGTGCTATGGTTCCCCCGAAACTACAAGCTACCAGGAAAATGAAACCAGTCCATTCAACAGAAGCAGGCTAACAAATAGAGAATGCCTAGAGGCTACCCAAATAAAAACAACACAACTACTTCAAATAAATGTTAAAGCTAATAAAACAAACACAGCACTGTATTACATAGCAACATTAAATAATAACAAATACAACATCAACTTCTAGAATGGACCTTGGTATCCGAGCTGTCTCTCTAAAACAATGGTTCTCAACCTGTGGCTCGTGACCAACCCTTTCACAGGGGTTGCCCGATTCATAACAGTAGCAAAATTACAGTTATGAAGTAGCAACAACAATGTTATGGCTGGGGGTCACCACAACATGAGGAACTTGTATTACAGAGTCACAGCATTAGGAAGGTGAGAACCACTGGTCTAAAACAACTAAGAATCAGCCACTTCAAAGTCAAGCAGGTAATCAAAGCCACAGAACGCACATCCACCGCCCAAGAGAAAGTACCGAGTCTTGATAAGGCTGTGGGGTCTGTGACATTCTATCTTTGAATGGATTCTCATTCTCCCTCCCTCCCGGGAGCAAGGTAGTCAAAAGCCGGCAGCCCTGCAGCCAACGAGGAGTTCTGATCTCTTCTGTAGCCCCATAAAAGCACCATATCCAGAGCAGAACCATATTTTCCCAGAACTTGCAGTAGTTCCCTGGGAAAACCTCCATTCTCAGAGTATTATGACTATTAAGACTCAGAGCTCAGTTCAGCTGAAGGGCGGGGGACACAGTAGTCTCAAAACAATAGCCAATTTGCAGCAGCATCTCAGTCTTCTCCTTTTAGGTGAAAATAAGAGCCTGGACTGGAATTTAAGAGCAATCCCAGAAAGCCAAATGATCATATGAAACCTTGAAAGCCTCCAACTTATTCCTGAGGATCGAAAAGGCTGCATGAATGCAGGAAATACCCTGGGAAGCGGCAATCACCAGTCACATCACTGGCCGACCTGACCTTGAGGTCCTGTGGAGTAAGAAATAAAAGCCACAGGCACTGGGGAAGTACCCAAGCTGTGGCGGTCTTCTTTCTCAGACCCACCCCCACTTGGCAAAGGGTGGAAGACATACGGGACAGGCACTTAAAGAAATACTTTCAACTAATTCATGGCAGACTACTAAATGACACTGATCCTAAAGGCAGATTAAAAGTTAAAACAAGGAGCTTTTTAAAAAAAAAGTCTGACAGAAAACTTAATGGGAACAAACTACATGGCCTATGGAATATACGGAATGAGACCGAGAAAGCCCATAACAAGAAAAACAACATTGTGTATCAAACAATGCCGAGGACGAGGAACATCAGACGAAGACTGTCAAGGAACAGACAAGGAGAAGCTGAAGAGAGGCAAGTATTTTTCCCTAGAGCAAGCAGAGAAAGCCTTTCCTTAGAGAGAGCACCCTGAATTCAGACTCCGAAGCTCCTAAACTATGAGAAAATAAGGGTCTGTTTTTAAAGTCATCCATTTGTGATATTTCTGTAATGGCAGCACTAAGAGGGAAACTAAGGCACCAAATAGAAATAAGGATAGGGATGAAAGTGTTAAGAACTAACCCACCAGAAATTCTCAAATCAAAAATATAAATTCAAAACCAAACTCATGTCGTGGAGCTGAGTTGCAGCCCAAAGAGCCCCTGCACGCACGACAGAAGGAACCACGATCAGTCGTGCGCCCTCCTCCCTGGTGTTCTTGATGCCCGAGCCTGCTGCTGCGGCCACTGTGTCAAAGTACCTTATCCTGAGTCTTCTTTTTGCTACCTATTCACTTTTCCAAGCATGCTGTCCTTTTCCAGAGACTTTATGTAGATATTTCTACCGCAATTGCAATGGCCAATCCAAAAATGAAATTAAAAAAACAAGCTCACTTAGGACAAGAAGAAGAACAAAATGACTAGATCAATTTAATAAAATACAAAGCTTGATAACAAGAAACTATAAAACACTGATGCAAGAAATTAAAGAAGATATGAAAACATGATAAGACAGCCTACGTCCCTTAATAGGAAAATTTAACATTGTTGAGATGGTATTATTCTTCAAACTGCTCTATCAATTCAATATAATTCCTACTAAAATCCAAATGACTGCTCTGAAGAAACTAACAAGCCGGTTCGGTAGCCCATGGAGAAAGGCAAGGGACTCAATCTTTAAAAGAGAAAGCGTCAAATGGGGCAGACTTCCTGTTGTGGATTGAACTGTGTTTCCCAGAAATACATGTCAATTTGGCGAGGCCAAGCTTCTGGGTGTTACATGATGCTCCTACATTTTGGGATTTGATAGGACTGTCAATCCTGTCCTCTGTGATGTGAGTGAAGCAAAGTGAGCGGCAGCTGCGCTCATGTGGAAGTTACGTTCTTGAGCCAGTCTGCTTGGGGATATAAAAGAAATGAAATACGTGAGCAGAGACCAGAGATACCTCACATCACCAAAAACGAGGAACTGGGGGATGAAGGATGTCCTTTGGACCAAAGTTCCTGCACGAACACGTTACTAGACTCAAGGGAGACACGCGGATTACCAAGGAATCCCAGGCTCACAGATGTTGAAAGGAGACAAGGGCCTTGCCCTAGAGTCAACCAAGAAAGCCTTCCTGTAGCTTTTAAAGAGCTGTTAAAAAACAAGGCAGACCGATTCATACTAAAGAGAAGGCTCTAAAAGAAAAAATTATATAGTACACTACATATATACACTATAAAACATTCAGTAGATTTGTTTTGTGGTTTTCAAATGTTGGTTTTTGTGGTAGTTATATAATCTGTTGTCAATTTGAGGGGATTACGAGTGAAGGGGTGGAGTCTAGCCTGTCAATCTTTGTATAGCCAATGAGGCCTCTGTGTGGGCATGGCCTTCCCCTGGGGATTCTGGGAATTGCTGTATTTCCTCCTTGGAGGTGGGAGACTCTCTCTAAGCTCACTCCAAGGGAGATGCTCTACTGACAAAACACATGGAACTGCACTGGTGCCCTGACCTGGAGAAGCCATGCGAAGAACCCTGCCGGAGCTGAGATGCTTACAACGCCACAAAATCCACAAGACTTCCCACCCACTGGCCTGTGATCTTCCTGCATTCGGCCTCACTGCATGAGTTCTGCGAGTCTGAAATGGACTTTATAGATTAGTATTGGACGTATGGGCTAATATCAGACTTAAGGATTTGATCTGGCCTGGGATGGGATGTTTTCTCAATATTCTCCATATTCAGTTGCTCTTGTATATAAATCTCTTTCTTATAAACATTTGAGTGTGTCTATGAATGTGTTTCTCTACTCCACCCAGACTAACACAGTTTTAGATAAATGGCATCATACTAAACAGAGTAAAAACAAAGGGCTAGAATTCACAACAACCTGATAGCATGTCTAATTTGACAAATTCTGATAACATAAGGAAGACATGGGCAGGAATGGCATGAAGAAATGTGAGATAATTCAGAAAAACAGTCAGAAGAGTGGGTTAGCAGCACTTTTATTATTAAGACTCAATATAAAGCTTAACTTTAGCAATTATGTATCAATTTTCAAAAGAGAATAATGTAACAAAAACCTTGTAGAAAATGAAGAAACAAAGGGTTCTAACCATCATACCAGAGCCATGAGAATGTCCATGCCCGCCATGCTTGAAAACAAATATTCCCACTAGGTTTACCAGAAAACCAAGAATTGAAACAAGTAGCAGTCTCTCATGGTGCACATCAGGAGGGGCTAATGCTCTCTAGAAAACACACAATACAAACAAATAGCATTGACATAAGTTCTAGTTGATCAACCAATAAAAACAGTAATTTAATAAATATTTTACTCTCAGAATTATGAAGTTAAAAAATAACTCCCAAAGTACAGGAATAAAACCAATGTTCATATATTTCAAAAAGGGGAAGGTTATTTTTTTAAATAATATAAATATTTAAAATCTGATTATTTGGATCATGACATGTCCTTTTGTATCTTGAAATACTGCCTATCACTTTAAGGTAACCAAACTTTACATTTTCTCTTCATTTGCCCTCTCTTTTGAATGAGCAGGCAATGAACGCTCACTGGCAAAGCTCCCAGGTTCTCTTGTCTTTTAGGACTCTTCCCACCTGACCTTACAGCCCAGAATGCCCTTTTGCACTCTGTAGTGTCAACACTTCCGTAGTGGCTCAAAAAGATGGCTTATTTTCGAACTCAAGTAGTTTGACACATCTTTAATTTTTAAAATTAAGTCCCCCCTATTCACACAAAGTGGATGATCTAACACGAGACTGCTCTTAACAAAAACTAAATGAAGGTGTGAAGACAGATCTGTTACATATATCTTTAACAAAGTTTCTCATGACAGAAAAGAATTTACTAACTCCAAGCATCATCTACTATACCTCAATGCCTTCTGAGAAAATGAAAAAAGCAGTGAAGATCAAAAAGAGGCCATTGACAAAGCCAGCCAGAACTTCCGCTCTAACGTACCTAAAGAAGGGCAAAGCAAACTTCAGTTACTTCTCAAAATGCAAACCACAAATTCCATAAGTTCAGAGTCTAAAAGATATTACATCGCTTTACGTAGCCAGCCAGCAAAGTATAGTACATTTTATTTTACCTATGTCAGAAATGAGTGGAGCATATTTTAAATATTATGCATAATATTTAATACCAGAATGTCTAGACTCCTACCAGCCAATCAAGACCTTCTAGAGTAAGCAAGTTTAAAAAGACCTTCCACAGAAATGTAAACCTCAAGTTGCCACTGGAGAAAAAAGAAAAGGGCCAGACAAGCAGGCGGGAAGGAAAGATCCAAGGAAAGAAAGGCGCCTGAAGAAGGAGGTCTCGTGACGCATTAATTCCAACTTTTCTAAGAAGGGCTAATGCTTTCTCGTTGTTCCTTTCTGCCTCCAAGGCTTTGGGAAGAGGAGCTTTGATCGAAAGGAAAATAAAACTGACACTGAATGATCCCTCAGACAACTTGAGATTTATATTTCTATCACTCTTCCCCCCCCCCAAATTAATAGTTAGCAAAAACTCAATTATCTATTTTTCAGAATCAATTCTAGCTTCATATAAGACTAATCAAACTATTTTCAAAATGCCTGTCTTTTTCTCCATGGGCTTCTGAAGCTTTCTCTTCCCTACCTGTGTGAAGCATTGGGGAAAGATTTTACTTTTCCATAAGGTATACGTAGTTTAGTTAAAGTCATTAGAAACAACTTTAACTTCGCATTTTAGATATTCATACATCACTCAAAGGGTTAACTGCAGATAGCAGTTACTCACTCTGCTCTTTAAACAATATAATAAAAGCATCAAAATGATGCTTTCTCTAACTTTCTATGTTCATTTCTAAATACCATTTTTATTGCAAAAAATACGTAAAGAGAAAACATTACTTAAAATGTATACTGTCCAGTTATGTTGGAGTTTGCCTGCAAGTACATGCCAACAGAAGCAGCCACAGGAGAGATTCAAACGTTTCGGGGAAAAATTCCATTTACCTTTTAATTCTATTTTCCCATGAACTTTTTGAAGTCCCATTGTATCTGCACTCAGAAAAATGGATACCTCTACCTTCCAACACAAATTACTTAATATATGATCTGTCAAAGCACACACACATTTTTCCTGAAGAAAAAGGTCAAATTCAAATAGTGCAGCCTGCTTTGTACAACTCGAATTAGGAATTTATCTAGTAAATCAACAGAATTACTGTTAAAAAAACAAAGAAGTGCTTGCTTTTAATCCACACTTCTAATCCATAGTTAGTGCACAACTCGAAGCTTTTTGCCCAAATAGGCTTCAAGATCAAAGGCAGCGACTTTTCCTCCCAGGCATCTTTTTGTCCCCAAAGCCAGCTTAGTAGGCGCTCCACAAATTCGGATAAGTTATTGGACTAAAATGATTTAGTTAGACTTAATATTATTTGATAATCTTGGTTGCAGTTTTAAAATTAAGACTCTGAAAACTATGGACGACAAGCATTTGTAAAGGACCCTGTTCACTGAGAGTGAATTTTATAATCCATGAACATGGTGAGTGCTGCCTAATTAAGGGTGGATGGTGTCTGGTCTTCAGTCACAGCAGAAAAAATACAAGGACAGGAGCATACATATATGTATAGAAGCATTCACTTATCTACCTACAGGCTGTATGTTTATACTGGCTTGACTATTTCAAAATTAGAAGAGCAGCGAAAACAAGGATGATTTTTATACAAAGAAATCCTGAAGGCTCTTCTCTGCCCTGCAGATCCCCATATTGTTTTCTCCACTACAGAGTTAGTCTGTTGGTTCCTCTTTGTGATGCATCCCTACCTAGGCTTAACTATTCGTTTTCATTTTGATGAGCTGACACCAGCTGGCTATCACTGCTGCTGACTACTACCCAAACTCACTGCTATCTTGTCAATCCAACTCAGAGACCCCATGAGACAGGGTAGAACTGCCCCTGGAAGTTTCCCAGACTGTGACTGTTTACAGAAGTAGAAAGCCTCATCTTCCTCCCCCAGAACCACTGGTGGTTTCACACTGCGGACCTTGTGGTTAGCAGCTCATTGCGGAACCACTCCTCCACCAGCGCGCCTACACTACTACTACATGGACTATTAATCGATTGAACCAGTTATCCTCTAAAGGTTTCCCTAGCCAAAGTAATTTTTAATGCAAAAAGGAGAGGACAGTATAAGAAAGTAAAAATTTTAAAGGCTGAGAATAGGATAAGAAACTTTTAAAAGGTGGCAAAAAATATGAATAGTTTACATTGAGGTAAAGTTGAATATTAAAACCAGCTATGCAAATGAAGGTATTCAAACCTACTGTTAAAAACGACCTTATAGCAGGTGACAATGCATTCTAAATACGCAACAAGATACCTTAAACAAAATCAAGAAATGAGAAAAATTTAATAGGCACCTACTATTTATCCAATAAGACTGCTAAACAGGATATTCCAATTAGATTTTTGATATACTATACACATGAATTAATTTTCCAAAATGTAAAAATGTAACTTTAGACATAACAGTTTTAAACACTCTTAAGAACATCTTAATACCTATATTGCTATTGTTGTGAGTGCTATTGAATCAATTCTGAGAAGCCCGTGTGTGTAGAGCAGGACCACTCTGTGGGGTTTCCAAGTCTGTAATATTTCAAAAGCAGATCACCAGGCCTCTCTTCTGATACACCTCAGAGTGGGTTTGAACTGTGAGCCTTTTGGCTAGTCCTTGACCATGTAGTATTTAGCATGTAGTATTTAACCAGAGAAACTGTTAACAGCTATGCTTTTGTTGTTAAGGGAGTTGATGTTTCTCTCGGAGACTGACTGAGGCAGGACAGATGTGTCCTGAAGTTTCCTTGGAAAAAACACAGATCACAATGCCTTTCTCCCACAGGACCAATGGGTGAGTTCAAAACATTCATCTAATCTGTCATTGAGCAGCCAAGGCTCCTCCAACAACAGCATTGCCATCAAGTCCAGTGGAAACGTGGCAAAGCTACAGGACAGAGTAGAACTGCCCGTAGGGTTTCCAAGGCGCTTATGAAAGCAGGCTGCCTCGCTTCCTCCTAGGAAGGGGCTGGTGGTTTCCAACCAGGTAGAGTGCTTAAACCCTGCA